AAGGTACATCCTGAGACTGTACTTCTGGCCAAACTGGAGGAACAGAGACTAGATTGACCCTCCTACCTGAAACAACTAAAAAACTGAAGAAAGTATGAAACAATGTCTTCAAGACATTGACCTCTGGCTAAGAGGGGCGGTGCCGCCCTACACACTGTCTTAGTGTATCTCCCGCCCAAGGGGAGCCAGGGGGCGGCCTGAGCTGAAGACACGGAGCTGGGGGGCCACGGAGCTCCCAGGACAGGGTGTTGGAGACAAGGAGGTACACAGAGGAATGCAGATTCCCAGAACATCCCCCAGACAACGCGCTAAGAACTGATCTGCACACACACGTGTGGGACTCCCCCAGGCCAGGGGAGACCACAGGCAAGGGCAGAAGGAACCATGTGCGGAGCTCGCAAGGAATAAATGGTGGTGCCTGCTTCTCCAGGCAGACTGGAAATCCCTCAGTTCTCAGGGAAGGTGGCAGAGGACTCGCGGGGTCTCGCTTCAGCAGTGATGCACAATCAGCTCCACAGAAAAGGTGGCGCTCCAGCTCCTGGAGATCTACCCATGCATGTTCTGGCAGCTCTGGTTTATTGCGTGGGCCTGGTTTGTGATCAACCTGCCCTGCCCACCACAGCTCCATCACTTCCGCAGGAGCTACTGCTTATGAGTGTCTGGTTCTCCAAATCTGAAGCCCCCAGAGCCAGCCAGGAAGTGGCGTCTGTCCCTCTGGTTTTACTTGACCACCACGTATTCTTGCTGAGAGTCCGCTTGGTCTCCAGCTATTGACACTCTTTCTCACCACAACAAAATCTTGAGCTAATGTATCTGGACTGTGTTTGTATCCAAGGAAGTGCTACAATTCCCACAGCTTTATATAAACTTCCTTCCGTTGAACAGCCCAGAACGCATCTGGGTTCACAAGCTGTGAACGTTTCTTTGAAATATTCACCAATTTTTGCATAAAGCAATTAAAATCATATAGTCAATCTTTAATCCTATTTACTTCCAAGGAAAATCAAGATGTATGCCAGTCAAAACTCTCTCATCAGTTAAATGTAAATTACCCTCTAGAAACACCAAGAGTTTTCCAGCTTGTAAAGGTGTTAAGAGAAGGGATTTCTGTCCAGGTGGGCTGGGTTCATCCTGTGAAGGTCTAACAGAGCAGCTCTTGGTTTTGGGATTTTGACTTGCATATCAATGACCTTAATAGTTTTATCTCCATCTCTTCTATTTCACAACAATCATAAGTGATTTAGTTGTAAGTCTTTGCATTCTGATATCAAGAACTATGAGGGCATTTTGTATTTTGCTAATTTACCACTAAAACATACAGCTGCTCTGAGCCTGTGGGATGCATTCTAGCACAATGCAAACAGGATCACAAGAAATGAGATCCCCACAAGAACCATGGGCTGCGGAATCTGCCTATTCTGGGGTGGGGCAGGGGGAGGAGAATGGGGAGGCCCATGGACATAGCACCACAGTCATGTCACCCAAGTCACTCACAGGCTGCGTCTTGCTTCAGAACGCTGTTGTAGATGAAGAGGCAGAATGAAGGGCCCTGGGGCTGTTCTCATGTTCACTGTGCTGGGGCACCTGCGTCAGCCTCTCTCAATGAGCTGAGGAAAGGTCACAGGATGGGTTGGGTACTGTGGGCTGATGCCAAGTGTATTCAGGAGAGGCTTAGGGGAGGGACTGTGGCTATGGTCTGTGGCTGCTGAGCAGTGCTGCCACCCAACACAGGCCATCACTACTCAGGGATTTAGGTAAAAAACTACAAATGGGGTTTTCTGTGCTTTCCATTTTGCATTTTATGACATGCCAGCTTACGTGGTCTTTTGGAATTCTGCCTCTTTGCTGAAATACAAGACAGATGTGACTGTTTTCTTGCTCTGAATGTACAGAACTCAAATCTATTATAGGCAGGCCAGGACTTAGCCTGTGGGAATTTGTTCATCTACTAACTTCTGAATCCATGCTAGTGACCCAGGATCCTTAGGTGAAGAATCCTATGGTCTGTGTGTACTGGGCCTGAGAGCAGGCGGGGGTCTCTCCTCCAGGGAGGACCCACCCCTAGACTTCTATCATCTGAGGCAGTGGTTTTTGGGGTTGAGCCAAGCGTCACAAGGCCGAGTGCTTAGGTATCTTTTCCCGCTTTTGGTGGTCAGTGAAACAGAGCAGTCTTAGGGCCTGTGTCCCATCACTGCTGGCCTCAGACATTCAAGTAACCAAAGGCTGCCACCTGCCCATCCTAGCAGGCACACTCTCGGTTTGGGCCCTTTACAGATGGACATTCTCTGGATGTTCACTCACCACTGGTCACTAGCATGTGGTTTAGTGTCTACATTAGGCATAAACATAAACTTCCTGTATAGTGGTCGGCAGACTCTAGGACCAGCAGGTGGATTTTTAGATGCTTCATCTTCGGCACATTCTGGGCTTTGGTTTCCATACTTGTGAAATGACAATAATACCAGTTTCTAATTTGGCTGTTGTGAGGTGTAAATGTGAAAATACGCACGAAGCACAGAGTGCAACTGTCTGGGAAATGGTGAGCTATCAATGCCAGCTGTATTACTATGACATCTCATATTGAGCTTTTCCTGGGAAGCAACTCTATCTCCCTGAGCTCCTGCTGGGGCCAGGGGGGACTTGCATGGACTGATGCCTCCAGGGCCCTTGCGCAGCTCCGAGCACTGTGGGATGGTTTCTGAGGCTTTGTGAGAGAATCCAACAGGCTCATGGCTACTGTGCCCCAAGCGTGTGGCAGCTAATTTCAAGCTTGATGGCACATTCTTCACGGAGCATTTGCCAAGGAACCAAGTGATCCTGCAGCAGAAATCCTGCCCAGTGTTTTGGTTTGCTGGTCCAAAGAGTTTTAGGCAGCGTAAAGTTTTATTACCAGCATTCCTGGTCTCCATGAAATCACCACGAGAACACAAGTTGTGTTAAAAGGACAAAATTGTGGACACCGGCTGGCACTGTTCAGACACCGGGCCCTTGGATTCTTTTCAACATTGATCCAAAGATGTATTGGATTTTTTTTAAAAAAAGAAAGTTACACCAAGACCACATTAAGGCTGATCTATCCTGCCATTTGACGAGATGACCTCTGCTGACGCATTGATTTTTGGCTCTACCTTCACGATGTGACCACAGATGAGTCGGGTCATCTGTCTCAGACCACCACCTTCTTCAGTGGGTGGATGCAAAGTGAATTAATCCACATAAGCATGGTGGGAAGAGCGGGTATTAGAGACTGGGGTTGCTTTCGTTACAGCCAGCTGTAAAGGGGCTGCTCACAGGCTTACATTCCAACGAGCGGCTACATCTCAATAGGGAGAGCTCAGGTTGAGGTAGAGACGGGCAGACAGAGAGGATTGTTATCTTCATGTGTCTTCTCTAAAGGAGCGCAGCGTGCTGCTAGCTGTCTAGTGATTTCTGTCCTCCAAAGTTACGTGGCTGCTAACCTTGGATTATATGAAGCAACAGAGTGCCTATCATGGTTGCATAAAGCGCTTATACTCCACTGAGCTGACAAGAACTCCTAATGACACGGCAATAGTTCTTAAGAAGATCTGCTCTGATCATGTTAACATGCTTTGCAAGTGTGTATTGTGTGATCCACATAAACTACACATTGACAGAGGCAGGATGTGCCTCAAATAGAATCATAAAATCTTATTACAAACTTTACATCATCCAAGGACAAAAATTTTTCATGGAAACATTTTTAAATTAAAATGAAAATCAAAAAGAAAATAGACACAAATTTGATTTTACAAAATTTGACTATCAGCCAAAAGAGTAAGGTACAATCAAGATGTGGAGTCGGCCACAACTCACTTTAGAAAACACTGTGGAACAACAGAAATCCTACTAACAGGTTACGGGGCACTGCCCTAAGTAACCTGGAGATGGTGGTGAGGTGAGGGACAGATACGGAACGTCCTGGGTGCTCGGGGCTCTTTCTGCTCTCCAGAGGGTCTAGTCTCTGCCAAGGGCCTATGTCCTCCCTGTAAGGCAGGGGGCAGTCTCAGTGGGTCTGGCTGCTGTGTTCCGACTTCCACTTCCTCTGACCCATGGAGATGGGCAGAGGGGGAAGAGGCTGGTCCCTACCCCACAAGGGGACCTGATCTGGGAACCAAGTGGCTGGCCCCGGCCCACCCCCAGGGAAGCCTGCCCTGAGCAGGTGGAACCCATACCCACCTCCATCTCTGTGGCAGGCACGGGTCTGGGGGCAGAGGAGCAGGGGCGCGGGATGGCCAGGCGGGGAGAGAGCCCATCACTTTACTTCCCCTGTGGGTGGGCATGCTGAGTTTCCGGCTATGGGGACAGCGCCTACAGACCCAGTCAAGCACGACAGGGTGTCCAGGTGCTTTCATGGCACCGGCAGTCTGCGCGTGCTGGAGCTGCTGCAGTGGGAGTGTTTGTGGGGATGGTGAGTTGGGGTATTTAAAATCAAAGGTGTCCTAGTAAACCATCACGATGGCAGGTGAGCCACAGTGGCCTATGGACCACGGTCCCTGAGCCCACTAGGGAGAACCATCCATTAGCTACCAGGATAGCATTCACTTTCAGGAAAAGCCCAGAAACTGTGGAAGAACTTGTTCAGTTTCCAGGTTAGACTCACAGTCCAACTTCCATCCAGATGTGGGTTTTACACCAGAAGACAAGGCCAAGCAGGCACTACCACCAGCCGTGGAGGCTCCATTAGACACACAGAAACATGCAAAGACTGAGAACAGCCTCCCACAGATCCACACAGGCAGTGGCAGGGACAGTGGGAGTCGGGCAGCCCCTAGTGGCCACTGACGGCCGCAGCTTCCAGAAGATACTTGACTCGCCTTGGAGAAAAGGTGCTTCCATTTCCTCCAATACAACAGCTCTCGTGAGAACACAGAACAAAGACACCAGAAGAAAAAACGTTTGTCATTACATCATTAGTATTTTGTCGCAGAAAAACCTCAAATGTTATATAGTTGTTCCTGAAAAAAAATATTACAGGCAGATTATTTTGAGTATATATTTATTAAGTTCTAAAACCTTGACAAACTCTTAAACATTCAAGCTGAGAGAAACACTAAGACTAGGAATTTCCGCACCTCTCACAGGCGGTACCCTCTCACCATGCTGCCTGCAGGAGAGGAAGCCGGTAAGTTTGAGGAACTTCATCTTGGCCTCCACTTTATGTCCTTGACGCCATGGAAATGTCTTTTCAAAGCCGTGTTATCAGCCCATGGAGAATTTAAACAGGAGTCATCGTCATTTTCTTCCAATTTCTGCAAATAAATTTGTTTTACTCAGGAAGGCATTTTGGGAAAGTGTTTTACAACACAGAGACAAGAGGCCCCACAGGCGAGCTCCTGGCTCCCCGCCTTCCCGGGAGCAGGGCACTTCCGGAGCCCAGCGCTGGAGGGAGGGGCGGCCAGCGGCTCTGGCGGCCCTGGAGAGGCTGAGCCAATAGAAATGCCCCCACCCGTGCGCCCCAGCTTCCCCAGCGCCTGCGGTGAGGCATGGGGTGAGGTTCTGGCGTGGCTCTCTAAACCCGTCTGTCGCCCGCACCTTGAGCTCCTCCTGTCTTCTGTGGTAATACAGCATCAGCTGCTTCTGCTCCTCACTGCTGATAATGGGTTCTCGGGCTGGAGCGCCTTGTCCTCTCTGAAAGATGAGCGAAGAGCAAACTGTGGATTAAGGCATTCTTACAGGGATGGCCCAGGAAGGTACAGGAATGTTTTCCAACCACCTTGGCCAACTGCTAACAGTAAGTGGGCCGTCCAGTCTGACCATCCTGGGCAAGTTAACTGGAGATCTGGACCCCAGCGCCCGTGCTGCGGCCGCTGGGTGGATGGAGACCGGATGCTGAGGGCTGCTGTCACGGCCATTCCAGCTCAGCACTGCGGGTGCAGTGGGGGAGGCACAGGGAGAGTTGTGGGACCACGGCTGCCGCAGGCGACACAGTGATATCAGGAGAGCACACGGCCCAGCGCCTTGCCGAGCTCCGCTTACACCCTCGCAGGCCTCTAACTCCTCGTTTATAGTGTCAGCCCTTCGAAAACTTGAAATCAGTGCTCTAGGCTGTACTTTTCATGTCAAGAAATAATTTTAGTTATTTGTAACCTTCCTTCTAAAGTTGAAATTAACATTGGCGCATCCCCCCAAATTAAAACAAAATCGTAAAAAATAGGGACATGTTAAAGCAAAAATACTTACCTGCTGAATCTTGACGATAATTTTGGTTTTTTCATTTTTGCCGACATAGTCTGAAAGCTTCTTTGTTCTTCTTAACTCCTTGGCTGCCCACCACAGTTTTGCCTCTGATTCTTTAATGACATTGAGTCCTGCCTGGGGCCACGGAAACAACACACTTTAAGATCATCAGGGTAGGCCACAGGTGAGGCCCCCCTGCAGGTGCAGGAGCAGCATGGTGGTCCCCAGCCCCCAGGGGAAGCACTGACTCCTTGCCTACTCCCAGCCCTCAGCCACCTTGATACCTTCCCAGCTAGTTCAGCTCTGGCCCTGACTCAGCTAACTTCTTCCTCTGCGAAGCGGGGAGGATCCTATCTCATTTGCACCCACATCCTAACATTGCTCCTCTTATATGGACTTTAGGATAGCGCTGGGAAGAACACTGGAATCCGGCTGGGATCGCAGATAGAGGCATAATGGGGCCTTGTTTGTGTCTGCAGATTCTACCTATTGAAGATCACTCAGAGAAACAGATCCTGTCCCATAGGTTAAGGAGCAAATGAGAAAAACAAAGGAAAAGGAAACATAAAGGCAGAAAATGACAGGATGCAAGAGGTAAGGCTAGAATACAAACTTCCACGCAAAGGGACCAACAGGTCCAAATTAGGCATCTGGCTTTCCAGTGGCCCAAGAAATGGGACTGTTTTCAGTTACTCCTGATGGGCAGCCTCACAAAGCCTCTCTACTGCCCGTCTGTGTGTGGGGGCCAAGCCCTCAACCATGAGTACTACCTTCAGGGTCCTCCCTGAATTCAGAACCCTGCCCTGAAGCCCAGCATAACCAGATGGGAAGCTGGGCATAAAGCAAAAAACTGCATCCAGAAGAGAGGGTCAAATGTAAGGGGCTTCTGTTCTTTGAGGGGGATTTGAACTCACAGAATGTCCGATAGCCACATACCTGAGTTCCTGACAAGTCTTCTTTATTTTCAAATTCCATCCGGATGGGATCATAGGGCGGCAACCCCATGGGATAAACAATCATCACTGCACCTCGAAGCTGGTCCAGAGCATCTTTCACCATCTCCATGGTAACACAGATGCTGGCCTCCACTTGTTTCTGAAAGTGGACAGGGATCATTATCTACAATGTGCTGGTAATTCCCCAGATATTTACCAAGTTCTTGCACAAGACCCTTGCCAAAACAGAAGGAACAAAATAGCAGTAGACTCGCAGACACTGGTTACCACTGGAAATGGGGAGGGTAGGTGAGGAGGGAGAAGGGGATTAAGAGGCACTATAATTAGCACGCACAATATAGGTAGGTCATGGAGAAGGCAGTATAGCACAGAGAAAACAATGCCTCTGTAGCATCTTACTACACTGATGGACACTGACTGCAAGGAAGGGGTGAGGACTTGATAATATGGGTGAAAGTTGAAACCACTGTGTTATGTGAAACCATCATAAGATTGTATTATCAATGATACTTCAATAAAAAAAAAAACGAAACAAAACAAGACCCTTGCCAGATGCTGCCAGAGCAACAAACGGAGTCCCAGGGTGCTCACCATCAAAGCGACCAGTCTGTTTCAGGGCCGAGCCACGCCCACTGCAGCCTAGACAGGAAGCAGGCTGAGCAGCACCGAGCTGGGAGTCAGTGAAGGGCACCCAGACTAGTGGGAGAGATGGGAGAGGAGCGGGGAACCCCACAGACGGGGAGGGACCTCAGGCAGGCCTTAAAACCTAAGTGGGGTGACCAGGTGCAGAGGGGACAGGGAGCTTCAGGACAGGCAGAAGCAAAGGGAGGCAGGTCACAGCACGCAGCCCCACTGCTTGGGGCAGGCAGGCGAAGAGAAGATGCTGCCAGAGGGCAGCCTGGAGCTCACTTTGAACAGCTGTGCTGGCCAGCCTGGGGGTCTGCCTTTACGGGGAGGTGCTGGGCAGTGACTGACTGTGCAGTAAGGACTGGTGATGCTGAGAGACTGACCCTGCAGGGGTGCAGAATGGACCCAGCAGGGGGAGACTGGGTGGCACAGAGGCAATGGCCTCTGACAGGGGCACAGAGGCAAGGTGAGATATAATCAACACTCTGTCCGGTCTTTGTCCGTCCTGGCAGAGAGCTTCACAGTCACTCAGAATTTGCAGTGATAGGAGTGGCTTCTTCTGTTACTCAAAGTGAGCCCCTTTTGACCAGAGCTGAGTTTATGCTAACAAGGTGATCTTTTCACTTAAGGCCTCCCCAGAAAGACCAAGCTGAGTAGATAGGACTGCAACTTTCAGACCCCCTATCACTACCTCTGGAGAAATGAGGCGAGAGAGGAATGTGATCACATGGCCAAGGATTTTATCATTCATGCCCGTGATGAAACCTGGTACACTTTCTGGACATCGAAGCTCAGTGGAGCTTCCTGGTGGGAGAGCACATTGGTATTTGGGAAAGAGAGTGCGCGGACACCACGGAGGAGGAAGGGCCCAGAAGCCCCACACTCCTGCCCCCAGACCTGCCCACGCATCTCTCCCAGTTTCAGAGTTGTGTCCTGTCACAAAATTGTAACAGTACATAGAGCACCTGCGGGGCACTCTGTCATCATAGTGAATCACTGAATCTGAAGGGGGCTGTGGGAACCTCCAAATCCAGAGCCAAGTCAGACAGAAGGGAGGGCTGCCTGGTGCCTGAGTAAGAGAGTCCTGGGGATAACCTGTCCTTTCACCTGTGGGGTCTGTGCCAACTCTGCGCAATGTAGAGTTGAACTGAACTCAACTGTAGGCCACCCACTTGTGTCTTAACACAAAAGGCTACCCTATTAAATAAAGTGGCAGTGGTGGAAATGAAAGGATTTGGATTTTAGAGGCATCACGGAGCAGACGGTACAGGCCTGAACTTAAGGCATGCAGACCACAGAGAAGGACATGCTGAGGGGGACACTGAGGGTGACAGCCTGTCTAACGCACACTGCGGTTCTGTTGATAGAAACGGGAGTCTGCAGAGACGCTGCTGCTCGGGTACAGAATACAGAGGGTGAGAGTGAGGAGTCCATGAGCTGGTCCAGAAAACTTGAGTCAAGTGCTGGCTGGGCTTTCAGGCAAAAGCAAGCAGGAACCAGTTGGAAGGCCAGTGAAGGAAGATGTCAGGGGTAGAGGACAGAGTTTTAAGGGTTATCTGCAGAAAGGTAAAATTTGCTTTGGGAGAAATGATAAATGCTGGAGGAGAAAGCAGAAAGGAAGGCAAAGAGGGCTACAGGTAAAGTACTTTGATCAATGTCATGCGTCAGAGGCGAGGGTAGAGAAAGTGGCACTCAGAGAGCTGGGAGGGAATGGGAATAGAGCAGGATCCTGGGTATGGTTCAAAGAGAGGAGCCACGAGTCAGGCTGAGAAGGGGCCTCTGGAGTTGCTGGTTAAGGGGTCACTGGTAGCCCCAAGATGGCCATTTCTGGGGGGAAGGAGAGGCCAGGTTCTAGGAAACTCAGAGGGATAGGGGCCAAGGACTCAGAGGCATCATGCGCTTCTCCCAGCAGCTTGCTGGGAGGCAAAGGTGGGCACAGGGCAGGTATAAAAGGGAAGGCTGCACACCACTGATCTCAGGTGGAGGAAAGAGGACAGGCGCGTTCAGACTCAGCACAGCCCACAGGAAACACCGGACATCACCCCTCCTGGATTTCCGGACAAGCAGCAGATTTGTGAGAGAGCCCAAGGGCCAGAGACACCAAATACTCAGAGTCTCCAGGGAAGGAAGAGGAAGAAGCAGGAAAAGAGACAACTCGCAGGTTGGACAGACAACTGCAGAAGTCCATGGACCCTGAGAAGGTCTGAGGCCAGCCTTCTGGCAGGGAGAAGGGCCAGCGGCCACCCAGCACTGGCAGGGGCTGGGGTGGCAGAAAGCAGGGCTGGGGAGGCCCCCCTGGGTCCTCCAGGCCCAGGAGATGGGAGGTGGGCGGCGGGCAGTGGGTTAGCACAGGCCATCCAGGGGCTCAGAGCCTGGGGCCTCAAGGGCCTGCTGAGCATTAAGAGGACAAATTGGTCCCAGGAAGGCAAAGAAGCAAGTTAGGGAAGAGGGTGGGTGGGGACTCCATGGCAGGGCAGAGGCTCTGGCCAAAGGGCTGGTGGTGGGTAAGACCCCGCACTACGAGGGGAACGTCAGGGCGTCCCTGACGGAACTGTTGCGTAATGGGGGGCATGATCTGACCGACTGTGGAGGATAAGGTGGCAGGGAGCCGAACGTCCCTGCTTCTCAGGAAATGCAGGCGTCCGCGACCTGGCTATGGCTCAGACCATCCTGTGGGTGCCCAGGTCCTGGGTTAGGAGGCTGGGTAGGGACTGAGGCCCGAGGCTGACAAGGCCCCCAGGGAGGAAGGTCCCAGAGGCCCAGACATAAGCTCCCTAAACCCATGTCTTCCCCCACTTGCCTCCTCCCAGGGCAGCTTATGAAATTCTCCCTAAGTCATAAATCCCAATAAAATGTATCCCCATGGGAGACATACGCCACCAGCACAGTGTAAAGGGCCCCAGACAGAGGGGCACCTCCGGGAAGTCTTCCTGCTTGCAGGGTGTTGCCCACCACCACCACTATTACCACAGAGGGGTGCCTCAGAGTCCTTTTCTATAAAAGCTCCGCCACCCACCCAGGGCAGTGATGCCAGCCCCATGCCCGGCTAGGGGATGGAGAAACTCAGCACAGCCTCAGGCAGACTGACCTGGTCCCCCACCCTTAGCAGAGAGTGGGTTCCCAGGTAAAGGGGTTGCATAGACACGCTCCTCCCATTCAGGAGGAGCCACACAGTTTGGATATTTCACTGTCTCTCACTTGCTTATACAACCTGAGTGAAGGAGTTCAAGTCCCAAGGTGCTGGGACTCGAACCCTCCCCTGCTCGCCCCACCATGTTCTGACCCACAGTGCTCACTGCCTCAACGTGGCAGAGCGTGGTGAGGGGACAGCGATGCATGCACACTTCTGGGGGCAGCATGCAAAGGGCCCTGGGTGTGAAGCCAGGCCCAGTCACTCAGGAGCTCTGCCATGCTGGGCCAGTTACTGCTGCAAAGCCCTGGGACCACCTGGAAACCTCTCTGTGAACTATGCAGTAACACACAGAAATATTGGCAGGCAAAGGGCAGAGGCGATATAAATGAACAGGACTTCCACAGAAAAAAATGTGAGTGAAGGGTGCAGGGCAGAGTCCTCTGTTCTCCTCACACGTTCTGTGATGGGCTGACTTGACTGGATGTTAGTAGTTATTATCAGTACTTTTTAAAAAAAGGTTCTGCAGTCGAAGACACCAATAAATGGAAATACATTCCATGCTCATGGATAGGAAGAATTAATATTGTCAAAATGGCCATCCTGCCTAAAGCAATCTACAGATTCAATGCAATCCCTATCAAAATACCAATGGCATTCTTCAGTGAACTAGAACAAATAGTTCTAAAATTCATATGGAACCACAAAAGACTCTGAATAACCAAAGCTATCCTAAAAAGGAAGAATAAATCTGAGGGGATTATGCTGCCCAACTTCAAGCTCTACTACAAAGCCACAGTAATCAAGACAACTTGGTACTGGCACAAGAACAGACCCATAGACCAATGGAACAGAATAGAGAGCCCAGATATAAATCCAAGCATATATGATCAATTCATATACAATAAAGGAGCCATGGGTATACAGTGGGGAAATGACAGCCTCTTCAACAACAGATGTTGGCAAAACTGGACAGCTACATGTAAGAGAATGAAACTGGATTACTGTCTAACTTCATACACAAAAGTAAACTTGAAATGGATCAAAGACCTGAATGTAAGTCATGAAACCATAAAACTCTTAGAAGAAAACATAGGCAAAACTCTCTTGAATATAAACATGAGCAACTTTTTCATGAACATATCTCCCTGGGCAAGGGAAACAAAAGCAAAAATGAACAAGTGGGACTATATCCAATTAAAAAGCCTCTGTACAGCAAAGGACACCATCAGTAGAACAAAAAGGCCTCCTATAGTATGGGAGAATATATTCATAAATGACAGATCTGATAAGGGGTTGACATCCAAAATATATAAAGAACTCATGCACCTCAACACCAAAAAGCAAATAACCCAATTAAAAAATGGGCACAGGATATGAACAGACACTTCTCCAAAGAAGAAATTCAGATGGCCAACAGGCACATGAAAGATGCTCCACATTGCTAATTATCAGGGAAATGCAAATTAAAGCCACAATGAGATGTCACCTCACACCAGTTAGGATGGCCAACACTGAAAAGTTGTCAGCAGTTGTGAACTGTGAACACTGAAAAGACAAGAAACAACAAATGCTAGTAATGATGTGGAGAAAGGGGAATCCTCCTACACTTTTGGTGGGAATATAAATTAGTTCAACCATTGTGGAAAGCAATACACAGGTTCCTCAAAAAACTAAAAATAGAAGTATCATTTGACCCAGGAATTCCACTCCTAGGAATTTACCTAAAGAAAACAAGATCCCAGATTCAAAAAGACATATGCACCCCTGTTTATTGCAGCACTATTTACAATAGCCAAGATACGGAAGCAACCTAACTGCCCATCAGTAGATGAATGGTAAAGAAAAGATGGTACATATACACAATGGAATATTATTCAGCCATATAAGAAAACAAATCCTACCATTTGCAACAACATGTATACAGCTGGAGGGATGCTCAGTGAAATAAGCCAGGCAGAGAAAGTCAAGTACCAAATGATTTCCCTCATTTGTGGAGTATAAGAACAAAGCAAAAACTGAAGGAACAAAACAGCAGCAGACTCACAGAATCCAAGAAGGGACCAGTGGTTATGAAAGGGGTGGGGTGAGGGAGGGTGGGTGGTGTGGGAGGTAGAAGGGGATTGAGGGGTATTATGATTGGCACACATGGTGTGGGGGGTCACAGGGAAGACAGTGCAGAACAGAGAATGCAAGAAGTGACTCTGTGGCATCTTACTACACTGATGGACAGTGACTGCAATGGGGTGGGAGGAACTCACTAATATGGGTGAATGTAGTAACCACAATGGTTTTCATGTGAAACCTTTGTAAGAGTGTATACCAATGATACCTTAATTAAAAAAAAACAGTAAAAAATAAATATATAAAGATATATTAGGTTACTTAAAAAAGAAAAAGGTTTGCAGTCAAATGCATTTTGCAAATGGACTGAATCAAAGCCTTCCTTGTAGGACTTTCCTGTATTAACAGGCACGGAAGAGCCATCTTTCCTGAAGAACTCGAAGGATTAGTTAAGAGCCTGGAGAATTTGGGAAGTGTTGGCTTAGAAACAAGAGCTTTGCCCAGTGAATTGGGAGGAGCTAAAGAAAAGGCAGTTCCGGCCTGAGAAGACCTGCACTGTAGGTGGTAGTAACAAGTAGCAGCGATAAGTAAATAAAAGCAACTGATCATAATAACGATTCTTTAAATAGCCTGATATTCTTTTCCTCCAGAGTCACACGATCCACATGCCAGTGGCATGACTTAAGTTTTTCCTTCTAAGAAAGTTTTTGTATAAATACTTTATGACAATTACAAAAAACGAATTCATATTTAATTAGACACATGCTGTGTCCAATCAGGTATCTACAGAGCGACTATGTGGCCACATGTTCAAAATTCACTTTAAGTTCTTCAAAAGGGTCAAGGAAACTAAATCACATATGCTTCAATTTATGTGCCTCCTACATGTGAACCACATTTACACCAGCCAATAACATTTTTCATCTGACCTGTAGAAACTGGAAGGATTCAGGACAGTGGTCACACTCATGAAAAGGAAAGGGTAGGGCCCACCCAAACAGGCTTGTTTCCCTTGCCTCTGGGAGGCAAAAACAAAGAAAGAAGAGAAAATGGAAAAAATTTTTTTTTAAAGTTGGTTGACAGTTAGCTCTGGAAGGCGTGAGTAGAGTTTGAAAGCTAACCTTAGATATTACTGCTTTGGCTTCTTCTATTGTCTTCTTTAAAACTTGCTTCATTTTTTCATTCGGAGCTATAAAAATAAAGAGAAGAGGGAGAGAAACAACTGTCTTTAAAACCCTTCTTGATTATCCTAACCCCATCTGTCTGAGTGGGGGAGTAAGTGAAATGAGAGAAAGCACAAGTATAGAATTTAGACAAAGCTGGCCTTGAGAAGTCAGATGAAAATCTCTTAAACCTTGTATTTTTAATAAATAACAGTTTTAATTAGACATTGAACATACCAGAGACATAAATTGTATTAAAGTAGAAATGGCTACTTTAAGGCAGTTTTGGTTTAAAGATGAATAATGAATTGGTTCTTATGAGATAACTATTATTTTCTTCATTGACACAGTTCTGTCTTAGAAGCAAAGAATCTCTCCAAATTGAGAATGAGCTTAAGTATGAAAGATGTGGAAGACAACCAACAATTTTCCAGGTTAAAATTTGAAAGAAATAGAAGTAGAGATTCCTATTATCTTCAATATTAAAACATATGTTATTTTGGGGACACGTAAAGGCTTTGTAAGGATATGTTTGTGTTTCTTTTGCTACTAACAGTGTTTTTGGGGCATGGTAGACAGGTGTATATTAAATGGTCATTTATTTATAGTCTTTTAAATGGAGCTTTTTTATATAGGGATAGGGATAAACTATCAAAATGGATTATCATCCTTTTTTCCTTCGAATTCTACATGATCAACCATATACCAAAAGGAGGATAATTTCTATGGTGCTCTGACATGAACTAAGTTGCTTTGCACAAAAGAGAAGCATATCTTCAATTCAAGTGGAGACCACTGTGCGGACACTGATTTCCTCCATCACGCACTCTCTAAATAAACCTCAGGATCTGCAAACTCTAACAAAACACAACCTTCAATACTTTCAATGACTATCCCCCAAAAACTATTAGGCTAAATCACAGGAAACTGCCAATTTTCAACCACTTGCTACCTACAAATGTAATTTCATATAGGTTCATCTGATGTATTTAAAAGATAGCTGCAACTTAGTAAGAGCAAAGAGACAGATGCTTCCTTTACCCACCTAATTTAGTCTGGCTTAGCATTTTATCACAAGGAGCTCCACAGTGCAGTATTGCATAAGTTTGTACAGCAATACTGAGGCCAACTCTGCAACTTAAAGAACTCCTTTCATACTAGTTGCTATACTCAGTCATGGACACAAAGAAAAACGCTGGATTACCTTGCCCATTCCTTCGTCCAATGTCATCCTTTTTAAATACTGCACCCCCACTGGGTACACACTTTTCACCCCATTCATCTCTTAATTTCAGTTCTTCAATCTGGTCATCAGTCAGTCCTTGCATATTAGGAGGTAGAAATATGCCATGTTCTGCTAATTCTTCCATTTCTGAAAAATAAGAGAAAGTGAAACAATATATATCACAATTATCACCATAACCCCTTATACCTCCTCCTAGAGGAGAGGGGTCCTGCCCATCATCTCATTATTTTATTTAACACTGACATACCACTTGCTATGTGCCAGATCTGTCCCCTGACCTTTCACAAATGGTCACTGATTCATCCTAGATCAAGAGAAGCAGAGTTTAGAAGCTCACCCATGGCCCTAGGCAGCTGTCTAATCCTCTGTGCTATTCTGTACTACCTGGCACTCAGGAGGCAGGAGATAAAATTCACAATCTGAATACATACATAGGATATTAGGGGTTTCCAGGTGCGTTCACAAAGATTATCTCTAACCTTGTGAGATAGGCAAGACAGTTATCAAGATCCCCATCTTGCTTAATTTACAGCTGATTTAGTGTCATATGAGGCCTGCTCAGGCTTGCTATTTTACACAGAATTCTGTAGAAATACTTTATAAATGATGTATGTAAATCTGATTAGTGGGGAAGATTTAAGTCAGCTCACACCCTTCCGAAACGACAGAGACAGGACAAGATCTTGGTTTTCTAGTATTCATGTTCACTATTCAAATGCATGGCTTGATATTTCTCCTGTTTCATATATATTCACCCCAAAACGAATCCACACTTTAATCTTGCAACATTGCTTGTTTTTGCTTCTTTGCTTTTTTTTACATGAAAGAGGCTATGTGAATTTTACATGATCTAGGTCTTCCCATAGCCGGGTATGAGACACCAGGAGGCCCATGACAATAAAAATAAACACTAGAGAACAAATGGTGTGACTCAAAACAGATATTTATGGTCTCTCTCATGAGACTCTAAACCTCTGGTGGGCAAGGGGCTGGTCTCATTCATCCTTGTCTTCAGAGCTCTGGGGCCTGCCTGAATCACAGTTCACAACTGCTGACAACTGAAGAACAAATGAATGGGTTTTAAGTTCACTAAAATGACTGCTGACATTCAGCACCACATTTTCAATTGATAATTTTACAGAACAGAAGCTGAGTCCCCTTTTCCCCCATATACTTTAATTTAAAAGTAACATTTGGAATCGGTATTTTTTACTAAGAAACTATACATATGCCCCATAAAGATAAAACCATGACCTTAAGGAGATCTGCATGGTACAAAAGTCACTTTTATAGTCACTACCACTCAGTAACATTCCAGGTAACACCGGGAGCATCACCATGTCAAACTGTGCTATGTAATGCAGTAGCTACTAGCCCCACTTGACTGCTGAAACCTAAATTCAAATGAAATAAAATATAAAATGCAGTTCCTTGGTCGTGTTCCAGGGCCCCATGGGGCTAGTGCACAGCACACACAGGGAACCCTTTCTTCGCTGTGGAAAGTTCCAGCGGACAGCGCTGCCCTGGCGTTTAGAGGAGGGTCACCAAAGCGCTGTAACAGGAGAATCAGGCTTGTGTTCCCTGGAGAAGGGAAAACACCACGCCTCTCCACCCTCTCCTCGCCCTATGGGGCCGTCCCAGGGTAGGCTCCGCACCACAACCCGCTCCACTTCAGTAGGCTCCAAGTAGTAAATCCACCTTTTAAAGGCACTGGGGCCAGTGATCTGCTCGCTTCGCATCTGTTTAATTCCACTGCTCCAGCTCTTCGGCCCGACGGTTTGGCTTCCTCCGGGTGCTTCCCCCGCCCTCTCCCATTTCCGTCTGTTTGCCCGGGCATCGCGCGCTCTAGGCCTCTCCCGTCGCGTCTCCACGCGAGTCGCCGGCCCTCTCTGCGTCTCCGGCGAACCCCGGTGTCCCATTTCAAGCCCAGCTGCTGTCCATCTATGCAAATCTCCACCAACTTGACCCGCGCCGGTCCGAGAAAGCCTTGTGGGTTCCACCCAACTTCCTCCATCCCAAATGGCCCCGTCTCCTCCTCCCCTCCGAGCCCTGGCTCGGCTCCCCGGTCCCGGCCCGCACCTGAGCAGACGCGCTGCACCTTGAGCCGCGCGTTGTAGACCCGGGTCACCTGCACCGTGAGCTCCTCCAGCTCCGTGCTCCCCGGCGCCTGTAGCAGGAACTGGCTCTCATCGCCCCGCTTCACGTGCAGCAGAACCATGGTGGCCCCGCGGCCCCGCCGAGGCGGGCAGAAGGCCGGGGATGCGCAGCCTGCGGTAACGCGAGGAGCAGACGGCGACCACCGACTAACGGCTACTTAGAGACCGGAACCCTGGTCTTCCCCCGCCCTATGGAGAAAAGGGCGGAGTCACTTGCTCCCGGAAGTGGCCGTTGCCAGGAGCAACAAAGAAACAGTCTGAAGGGCCGCCAGGTCTAGATCAGAACCCGCGGGTGGGGAAGCGGAGACCCGGTGATGTCTGGCAACGACCTTCACAGTCCGAGAGGGCCGCGCGTCCCGCACGCACCCGCCGAGCCGGATTCGCCGGGCCGCGCGCCAGTTAAGGGCTGTTGTCCGGGAAACCAGCAAACAGACCAGGCAGCCGGGAGTGCGGAAGGCGCAGCCGACTCTCCGGCTGCCCGAGATCCCAGGGTGGGGTGGGAGGGAGGCCGCCAGGTCGGGAATGGGTGGGGCTGTGCCACGCAGCAGCAACCCCGGGGCCGCCCGGGTCCCAGCGGCATTTCCGGAAACGCCTCCCGCTGCTCTGCGCCCGGAGGTTTGGGAGGCGAGCCTGGTTTGCTGGTCCCTGCTCCCTGTCCCCTCGGCTCCGGTTCCTAGCGCCCAGGCGCCAGGGAGAGCGCGTGCTCTGTGAGGGTAGATGCGGAGGCACACGTCTAGGGTGGCTCAGTTGGCTGCTGCCGGAGTGACCCTCCCCAAACCATCCAGCCGGCCACCGTCCAACAAGTTCTGACAGAAGGGCAGTCAGGCCAAGCGCTGTTTCTTTCAGGCGCCTGGGACACGCGGCAGATCCAGGGCCACTGCTCTGATAGAGCTTATATTCCAGTGTAAGTAACAAAACAAAAATAAACGGACAAGACAAACTCGAACAGAGGTGTAGAGAAAATCAAACTGTGGTTAGCTTTTTGGATTGGATGGTGGGTAACCTGACCTGAGCCCTTGATAACAAGGCGCTAACAAAGCTATTAGAGTGCAAGGCCTCGCCCCCTGCTTACCTCCTTCGCAAGGCCATTGCAGAGTAGGATTTGATTTGAACATTGCAAGCACCTGCTAGTTCGTATTCCTGAAGCTTTGGCCTTCTGCATTCCCCAGGGCTCTGGGGGCAGAGTGGTGGTGTGACTACTGGCCTGGATATGCCTAAAGCCAATCCAGGGCCTCATGGGAAGGCTGTTAGACTGATACTGGATGGAATGGGTATGGAACCCAGGGAGAGGGGGTGTGTTTTCATCTCTAGTACTGTTGGGGCAGAGGTCACCCAGACCCTGGAACTTGTGCTGGTCAGATTGGCAAATGTCTCTCCCCACTGAGGGATAGAGGCCTACTGGGTTCTCAGCTCCAGCTGCTAGCCATAAGGTCGTCCCTTTATTTCTCCTGATTCCATGTCTGTATTCACCAGTCATGTATTAGAGTCTGTGGGTACTAATTTTACTAAATTAAAAGTGTGGAAAACTCATGCACTGGCCATCCAGTTTTGTTTAAATACAGTTTATTAATCATATGGTGGAAAATCTGCCAAATTGCCACAGATCAAGCCCTTGCAGTATCTTTAATCCTTGTCAGCAATGATATTTGACTTTGCAGTCCTAACTTTACTTTTACTGCCTTCCTTTCAGTGTTCTCTTAAGGTCTTTTTTTCTCACATGTCGTGTCTTTCAAATTTATATGTAGCTTTTTCTGTGTAGTTTAAGGAATCAAAAATCATGACAAAATCTGGTGTCTCACCCCCACCCAAGTGGGCTCTGAATTCCAAGACAAAGATGACACCTGTGTGGTCTTGAGCATTTTGGCTTATTTTCTCTGAATATTTTAGGTACTGTTGCCATTCTAGGATGAATGGCATCTTAGGGCCATTTGTTGAAGCATTTCATTCGTGATTAAAACTCTGGTTCCAGATGATTGGCTATTCATAATGGCTGCTAGGTATCAGGAAGCCAGAGTGGTAAAGAGAAAATTTTCTATGAAGAAAAAGTCACTTTTTAAGACCTAACGTATTAAAGTTCCCACATAACCCCTCCCTGATTCTACTCCCCTCTAACCCTTCTCCTGAGGTAACTGCTGTCCTGCATGTTTTTATACCATTAACACATTTCCCTATGGCTTTGCCATGTTTTAAATTTTAAATAAATGGCATCATACTGTATCATTTTGTAATTTGCTTTGATTCCATAATAGATTTACTAATATTTTATCCACTCACTTTCACTGCTATGAAATTCATAGTATTGCACCATATGAATATGCTACTCCATTCCCCTGTTGAAGGTTAGTTTATTTCTAGTTTTCACCAGTTTCACATATACTAGAGTTTCTCTATAAGTCAAACTTCTTGTGCTGGAGTATATGAACTTCACTGGACACTGTTAAATTGCTCTCTAGAATTACTGTGCCAATTTACCCTCTCAACCAATAGTATGAGTCCCCATTTTTACATGTTTGCTAAATCTTGATATAATCAGACTTAGATTTTTTTAAATTAGTAAAACAGGCATGTTGATTTCTATGTCTGTTTTTTGTTGAGTTTGGCTATCCTGTGTCAATCCCCCATCTGTAGTTAGTTTGTGGACCTGTAGACCTCAGGATCTGGCTACTGATCATGTGAGGAGGATGAACAGATAAGCTACAGACTTGAGAGAAGTATTTGTAAACCACATGTCCAAACAAAGGACAAGTATCTAGGATATATAAAGAACACTCAAAACACAATAGTAAGAAAAGAATGCATTTAGAAAGTGGGCAAAAGATACAAACAGGTATTTTACTGAAGGTATTAGAGGGTAAATAAGCACATGAAAATGTGCTCACCATGACTGCTATTAAAGAAACAAAGTCACAATGATATATCCACTACTAAAATAGCTAACATAAAAAACAGTGCAACAGCAAATGCAGATGAGGATGTGGAAAAATTGGATCACTCATAAATTGCTGTGTGGAATGTAAAATGGTAGTCATTCTGGAAAACAGGTTGGCAGTTTTGGAAAAACCCAAGCATGCAACTACCCTATGACCCAGCAGTTGCACTCTGGGCATTTAGGCATTTATCCCAGAAAAATGGAAACTTATGTTTACACAAAAACCTGTACACAAATGTTTGTAGTGGTTTTTTAAATAATAGCTCCAAACTGGGAAAAACTCAGATGTCCTTCAATGAGTGGGTGAACAGTTAAACTAACTGTGGACTACTACTTAGCAATAGAAAAGAATTAACTATTGATAGATGCAATCTCGAGAATTATGATAAAAAAAAGCCAATCCTGAAAAGTTATATACCATATAATTACATTTATGTAATGTAAATTTCAAAGTGGCAAAACTATAGAAATGTAGAACAGACTAGGGGTTGTCAGACATTGCAAACAAAAGACAGGGTAAGATGGGAGGGTAGTGGGAAAAGAGCAACATGAGGGATCTCTGGTGATGGGAGTGTTGTATGTCATTGTTAATGTCCTGCTTGTGGTATTATACCATAGTTTTGCAAAATGTTACCACTGGGGAAACTGCATAAAGGGTACATAGGATCTCTGCATATTATTTCTTAACAGTTGCACATAAACCCACAATTATGTTCAAATACAAATCTTTTAAAAGTGTATTATTCTGTATCTGTAACTTCTTAATCAGAGGTTAATGAACATAATTGAACTATTTAAGAATCAAGGTTATCGTTCTGAATAGCAAACACCTAGGGCTAAAAAAAGGCAATAATCACAGGAACTCCGTGGCCAGTCTCTTCTGTCTGGCTCTTCCTGTGCCTCTTTCCCCTCTGACCCCAAGCTGTTTCTTTTGCTATGGTTAGAAAAACATTCATGCTTCATGTGTTATGTTCAAGCCAACAAGATTTTGAATGAGGGCCTCTCTTACAGAATCAGGCTCGGGTACCTAAATGATGATTTGTAATCTCAGAATATCTTTCCTCTTATTTTTAGATAAGTATTAAATGGAGAAGTAAAATGGATGAAAATGAGGCCTTGAATTAAAATACCAGTTATGACAATAAGAGGTAATCCCCAAATGTCACTAAACCTGTGTATGCTATTGTATGTCACTAAACTTGTAACGTTCAAGGAAAATGGCTGAGAAAAATTCTTCCCTTTTGAGCAAAGTAGTCAATATGGTAAAGACAGGTATTTTTATTTCATATGACAGCACACTTCACAGGATATGTACAGAATGTTTGTGTACCACTGACTTCAGTACTGTACTTCTGTAAAGTATATAAATATTGTATGCCACATAAGCAATAAAATTCTTACATATAAACAGCAATCTACTATAGAGAACAAAGAATTCACAAAGAGATCCTTAGTGTCTAATGTCTGCTCTGCTTTTAACAGAACTGGTAAATATTTTAATAATACATAGAAGAATGGCTATTTGCAGCATACCTTTAACTTTCTTTCATAACTGTGCACTTTCAGCAACTTGCCAAACACAATTTTCCTGATAAAGGCTGAGCTGCTGCATGATATGTGTATTTTAGACAGTAGTTTATATTCAATAGGAAACATTGCTCATAGAACTGCAATCTGCACTAGTGAGGTTTATAATGAATTATTTTGCTAATGGAGAGCAAATACCATATACACTAATCACATAGATGTTAGAGCCACAGTTTCAACAAGTTAATTCACATTTTGAAGCGCACTGCTTATAATAATACTGCTGTTTAAAATATACTACTGCTGAAATGATCAGAACCCCAAAAAAAGCACAATATAAAACTCACAAGAGTTATTTCTAACAACAAATCATGGCTGTTAACAGAGAGAGGATTACTTCTATAAATATAGTATTTT